CTAACACCACACTGTTGATTTATAGTATCATCCTTGGCATCCATCAAGTGCCCACATATGTATACGTCTATTCTGCTGACCTGTGTGAATGAATAGTTTATTCTGATCCACTGGTCAATCTGTCTAGTTCTGTGTAAACACCACATTGTGTTAATTACTATGGCTTTGTAAGACAACGTAATATCTGGTAGAAGTTCTCCACCTAGCTGTTCTACAAAAATTCTTCAGCTATTCTTAAACCTTTGCATTCCGTATATATTTTAGAATCTGCTTGTAAGTTCCATAAAACAATCCAACCTTTTGGATTTTCATTGGATTGTACTGAATCTACATTTCAATTTAAATTAACACCTGAAAAGATCGAGAGTCTTCCAATCTATAAACCTGTTTAAGTCTTAATGTTTTTCAGTTAAGTTTTATAACTTTCCCATAAAAGTGAGGATGGTGTGACTTCATCTCACGTACTTTGGACATATGATCAGGAGGGACCAGTCCCTGGAGAAGGACCTCATGATTGGTAAAGTAGAGGGTCAGCAAAAAGGAGGAAGACCTCCAATGACATGGATTGACACAGTGGATGCAACGATGGGCTCAGCCATGGCAGCAGCTGTGATGGTGATGCAGGACCAGAAAACGTTTTGTTCTGTTGTGCATGGGGTTGCTGTGAGTAGGAATTGACTCAAGAGCAGCACCCAACAACAGCAACAACACATTGATTGACTTTCACTTGTGGAACCACCTTTGCATTTTTGGGAAAAATCCTACTTGGTTATGGTGGGTAATTCTTTTGATATTTTGTTGAATTTGGTTTTGTAGCCTTTTGTTGAAAATTTTGCCTTGTATATTCATTCATAAGGGAAATTGGCCTGTAGTTTTCTTTTCTTGTTATGCCTTTGTCTTTGGTATTAGAGCAATGTTGGCCTCATAGAATGAGTTAGTTAGTGTTACTTCCTCTTTTATTTCTTTGCAGAGTTTGACAAGGATTGGTATTCATTCATTTTTAAATGTTTGTTAAAATCCGCCAGCAAAGTCATCTGTTCCTTCTCTTTCTTTGGGTGGTTCTTCGGTTACCTAATGCTGCTTTGACAGCAATATACCACTAATGGGATGCCTTTAACAAACAGGAGTTTATTCTTTTATAATTTCAGAGGCTAGAAGTACGAGTTCAAAGTGGATGGACTATTTTATATATGTTACACCTAATTGGTTGATAGTATTGTTAGAATCCTCTATTTCCTATTTATTTTCTGCCTGGTTTTCTATTCATTATTGAAAGTGGAGTACTGAGGTCGGTCTCCAATGATTATTATATAACTGTGTATTCCTCTTTTCAATTCTTCAAATTGTTTTGGCTTGGTATATTTTGGAATTCTATTGTTGTGTATGTATAGGTTTATAATCATAACTTTTTGATGGATTTAATATTTTATCAATATATACTTCTTTGTATCTTCCAACCTTTTTTCATTTCTTTTTATTTTTTTCTTTCCTGACAATAATATAGCCACCTCATAGCTCTTTGGAGTTTATATTTGCATGGATTATCTTTTTCCATCCTTTTTCTTTCAACTTCCATTTGTCTTTTTATCTAAAGTGTCTTTTATGGAGTATATAGATTGATCATTTTTTTTCTATCCATTCTGCCAATCTCTGCCTTTAAACTGGAGAATTCAATCCATTTACATTTAAAGTAATTACTGATAAGAAGTTACTTCGGGCATTTAGCTATTTGTTTTGCATATATTTTATCTGTTTTTGCTCCTCAATTCTTCCACTACTGACTTCCTAAAAAAAACTTAGTTGAGTTTTGTATTATAGGCATTCCCCTGATTATGAATGAGTTCTATTCCTAAATCTGTCTTTAACTTGCATTTGTACATAAAGTGGACGTTAGATATAGTTCATATTTAATATCAGTTAGTCAAATGTTTGTCTTCATATATAGTGTACCTTTCTATGCATAAGAAACATTAAACATTTTCAGATACATTAAGACATATTTAACATATAATTATAGTGATAATAATAATAATGTTTTAATGCATGTCTCAAAGTAGTGCTCATTATAAGTACCTTGAATTTTTAATACAATAGGCTTTACCAGGATTGGTTCGTAATTATGGATTGCATGTAAATTGGATGTTTGTAACATGGGGATTGCCTGTATATTGTTTTGATTTCCTTCTTCTTTTCCATTCTGTGTCTTTTTACTTATTTTCTTATTTTCTTGGTGATTTCAGTTAACATCTTAAAATTGTAACAAGCTAATTTGAAGAATAAGAACTGAGTTTCAATAGTGTGCCAACAGTACTCCTATGCATTGCCTTTCCACCCTTTTATATTGTTACTCTTACAGATTGCATCTTTATACGTTGTGTGACCATTAGCATATATTGTAAAACCTGTGAGAGCTGGAACCTGTGTAAGACAGAAACCTGCCCAAGAAGGAAAATGCAAATATCTTCTGCTAATAGAGAGAATCATGGAAAAGTGGTAAGGCTGCACCCAGTCAAATGCAGAAAACTTGTGAGACCTGGAAAAACAAAGCAGTCTCATCAAGTTTAACTCTTATAGGTTTTAGTGTATTTATAATTATTGTTTTATGAATTTACTTTTTATATTTATTTATTTAAAATTTTGCTTTGGGTGCAAATTTACAAAGCAAATTTGTTTTACATTCAACAGCTCATGCACATTTGATTTCACACCCCGATTACCATCCCCAACCATAACAAACTCTCCTCCCCTCCTCCCTGTAACTATCTCGTCCCTTTAACTCTTCTTAACTTTGCACTCCTGTCTGTCCAGCTTTCCCCCTATGTGAATACTGCCCCTCTTATGTCTCTAAGGGGCAGATTGACCTAAGGGGTGCATCTCCCTAGAGTGGGTGGGTGCATCAACCTGGGGTAGGTGTTCTGCATGTAGGTCTTTCTACTGTTGGGCTGAGAACGAATCCATGGAAGTGAGCCCATTTCTAGGCCTGAAGGGTAAGCCAAGGCCATAGTCTCAGGGGTTCCACCAGTCTCTATCCTACCAGTAATTCTGGTCATTTTTGTGGTTTTGAATTTTGTTGCACATTTTTCCTCCCACTCTATCCAGGATCTCCAGTTTTGACCCCTTTCTGAGTGGTTGGGATTGGTAGCTGGGCACCATCTAATTCTTCCGGTTTGGGGTCATGGTCCATCTTATCCTTGAACTAATTGTTTCCAGATGCCTTTGAGCTCTGGGGGCATAGTGTCTAAGGCACTTGACTGCTAACCAGAAGGCTGGCAGTTCAAATCCACCAGCCACTCCTTGGAAAGAAGGTTGGGCAATCTACTTCCATAGTGATACTGCCTTGAAAACCCAAGGAGGAGTTGCTATGAATGTGATACAACTCAATGGCAGTGAGTTTGGTTTGGTTTGGAGTTTTGATTTTCTT